AACCTAATTCAGCAAAAATGTGCTCTCTACTTCCTTCTGGTAATTTAAGCTTCTTTCTGCCTTTTTAGCTACTTTTATGTTTTTTAATACTACTTTCAGCCTTTTTTCAGATAATTTCCACTTTTGCTTCTTTCAGCCTTTCAGGCAAATATCTTCTTTCTACTTTCTTTAAGGTAATTCAAGCTTGTTCTACCTTTTTAGCTACCGTTGTAGCTAATTTGAGCCGTTTTCTGATAAATTCAAGTTTTTCTTGATAATCTGTTACTTTCAGCTTAATTTATTTCTGCTAATTTCAGCTTGTTATGCTCCTTTCAGCTTATTTCTGCTAATTTTAGCTTTTTCAGCTAATTACACCTTTTTGCACTCATTTAAACTTTTTTCAGTCTAATTCAGCAAAAATGTGCCTCTCCACTTCCTTCAGGTAATTAAAGCTTTGTTCTGCTTTTAAGCTACTTTTCAGCTGTTTTTTGTTGTTGTTGCTAATTTCAGCTTTTCTTCAGATAATTTCCACTTTTTGTGCTCATTTCTGCTTATTCAACCTATTTCAGCAAATTTTCTGCTTTTTTCTACTAACGTAGGCTTGTTCCATTTCAGCACGTTTTTAGCTATTTTTAGCTGTTTGTCAGCATGTTCTTCAGCAATCACGCTGCATTTTCACAGAAAATGCAATTTCCCTGTTTTTTTTTGTTACAAATCACTGCTCTGAAAGCTGAATTTAAACTCAGCTTTAAAAATAAGTTGTTGTTTTTGTTAAGAATAAAAACTGCATGAGAAATTAAAGCAATTTAATTTCTGCCCAATTTGACTAAATTATGGCTGAAAACAGAAAAAGGTTTTCTGTAAACGTATTCTAAAGATCCGCTTTTGAACAGTTTAACTTTGAATTTCTTCTACTGACCTTACCTGCATGTTTACCCATATTCGTAAAAGTAAACTCCTTCAAAGGTGATAGTGTGTTAATTGGACTGATGAGCTAACGGCTAGTCAGAGCGGGGAAGCAGGACGAAAGCAAAGTATTGCTGTTCTTAAACACGTTCAGTCTCAAAAGCGTCATCACAAATTAAGTGATGGCACATTTATCAACCCTGCGGAGCGATGCTAGCTTTGTTAACAGCAGAAGTCTTGGAGCGATCCAACAGGAAGTGCCAGAAATGCTACAGCTAGCTGCTGTTGCTGTTTGCGATAGTAAATAATCACGTTAGGTAAAACTGATGGGGATGCCCAAACTAGCTGATAGCTCATCAGTGCTAAAGTGTTCCCTCAAACTGAGGTAATTCAAAGAGCTATCTGCGACAGGTAAGATATTGACTGTTTATAATGTCAAATGATCAAAACTTTTTTAAAAAAGTAAACATTTTTTTCTTTAATGTCAAAGTAAAGGGTGAGTTTAACACAGCTGCTGTACCTCTGTTCTGACCCGGTGTTACAAGTGGGCTTGAGACCACAAGTGGGCCCAGCAGGGGCCGCGGTCCGGCTTCTTTATCCAGAAGCATCTGGAATTCATCACAGCTGATCGTATCGACGTACGGAGACAGCAGAATCACGCCTAGGAGGCAACAAACTGTGTTCAGGTGTTTCACTCCTTTTACGCTTCGGTGTGTATAAATGTTCAAAAACGTAAACTACAAGTCAAGGTCCAAACCGAACGCAGCTTTCTAACCTTCCTGGTACCAAACCCCATCGTTTGACTCCTGCTGCCTCCACCCCATGCCAGCACTCGCTTCCTGGGCCGAGGGCTCTCTCATGGTACAACCAGGTGCCTCAGAAGGATGTGAGCTGCCAAACGAGTGCAAGGAGGCAGGGAAAGGGGAACCAGAGGGATGCTGGGAAATGCAGTACAGAGCCTAATGAAAACTTGTGTTCAAACAAACGGGTTCCCCCGGGATGGATCCACTGGTTCACCTGTGAGCCGACAGGCGAGACGTAGCCGCGGTTGGTCGTTTTGTAGAAGTGTTGGAAAAACACAGGAGCCGGTTTGACTTCGCTTCTGCTCGTCAGCCGGGACTGGTGGTCTTTTAAGGGTCTAAAGTAATTTTCGTAGGTGGTCATGACTTTCTCTGAAGGATTCGCACCGTCAGACTGAGAGAAAAAAGCGTTTTAACAATTGTTCACAGTGTGGACGACAAGCAGCAAAACATCGTATCAAATGCACTTTAATTAAACTCCATGACTAAACATCGGAATTTACTTATCAAAATGTAACATTATCTTAGATGGTTATTTTTTCCGCACAACTAATAAAGTACTAACTACACTTTGACTGCCTTAATGATAAAATAAAATGCATATACAGTGAATTAAAACCAAGTATTTAAACAGAGACGTGGTGTGAATAAGTAGCGTTTAATGATTTTTATTTTATTGTTTAGTAGGCAAAGGCAATTGCAGTTTTAAAACATTTTTATTATGTTAAACTAATAATTACCCACAAAATAATAGTGATAAAGGCTTGTGACCCCATGTTTCACTAGTTTAAACATACTATAGTTGATAATAACCATTTAAAGGACATGCTGATAAACATGGTTTTAACAGCCACAATACTGTTTTTATTAGTTTTTTTAAATTCTTTGTAATATTGAAATGTAGCATAAGCATTCAATTTTAAAGGTAGCATAAGATGTAGACATTATCTAAAGGACATTTTTCATGCCTCATGCATAAATAATATGTTTAGTTTGCTTTATTTAAATAAAACCTTGAAATAAACTTCACTGCCATTTGTTCCACTAGCTTTTTAGTTAGCGGTATCACTGTCTGCTATGCTAATAGCCCAAATTAACTCTAAAATGATGATTATTAATGAAATTATTTAAATAACATGACACTAAATTCAAGATGGTGCTGAAAAACTAAAATCTTTGGAAATGGTTTGTAATTAAAACGTTTATTTAATTTGCTGTTAGCTCTATTATTTTTCAATTAGCAACGTCATTAGCCCCTAAACTGCTTCTAGTCTCAAAATAAATATATTAATGGGTTTATGTAAACAGTGTGACACCAAATACAATATGGTACTTTACAACATAAAAATGATAGAAATGGCCTAAAATCAAAACTTCTCTTATTTTCTGCTTGTTTAATTAGCTTTTTAGCTAGCAACATACCTGCTACAATGCTAATGCTA